ATAGCTTTTAAGTGTATGCATTTTAAATGGTCATTGCATTTACATTTATACTTCTTATTTAGATTTTTAAAAAGGCCCTATCCAGGTAGCTTAGTTGCTTAGAGCGTTGTCCCCATACACCAAGGTTGCAGATTTGATCCCTGGTCAGGGCACATACAAGAATTACCCAATCAGTGCATGGATGAGTGGAACAAGTTCTCTCTCTCTCTCTCTCTCTCTCTCTCTCTCTCTCTCTCCCCCAACGCCCCCCCCCCCGCCCCCCGTCACTCTCTCCTTCCCTTACTCTCCCCCTTTAACAAGTCTCTCTCTCCTGCACCCCCATCACTCTCTCCTTCCCTTCCTCTCCCCTTTTCTTGAGGAGACTTAAGAAATGATTTAAAATAAATAAATAATAGGTCTTAAGAATATATCACCTTAGCTGAGAATTTGGTTTATTTACCTGGCTTATAGTAGAGAAGACACTGCTATTCCATTTTAAAAATGAGGCAACAGGTGTCCAGAGAGTGGGGCAACATCCATTATTTACTAGCTATGGGAACCAAAACTATTTTTGGTTAATTTACAAAATGATATACAAATTGTTTTTCACTTCTCATCAATGATGACACAATAAGCTTCTCAATTATCTTGCCCTCTTAAAACTGAGGTTAGGCATATTTAAACTTAAGCATCTGTAAGAAGCAACTGAATGTCTCCAAATATCTAGTAGTACTATTGTATACTATTTTATCAATAATTCATAACATTAGTAAGTAATATTAGAAGTGACAATAAATTATTTATCAAAAGTTTAGCTGTTTAAAGATTGAGAAGTTAATAAAAGAGATAAAGAATGAACTAGCAAGCTTAGAAAATGGAGCTGACCAGGTAGAGGAAAGAATTGGTGACATTGAAAATAGAAATCTAGAAATGACTCATGGAAGAACAGAGAAACTTGAGATTAAAAAAAAAAACCACACAAAAACCCAACTCTGCCGAAACCAGTTTGGCTCAGTGGATAGAGCCTCGGCTTGCGGACTGAAGGGTCCCAGGTTCGATTCCGGTCAAGGGCATGTATCTGGGTTGCGGGCACATCCCCAGTAGGAGATGTGCAGGAGGCAGCTGATCGATGTTTCTCTCTCATCGATGTTTCTAACTCTCTATCTCTCTCCCTTCCTCTCTGTAAAAAATCAATAAAATATATATATATATATATATATATATATATATATATATATATATATATATAAAAACCCAACTCTACAAGAACTAGCTGACTTCATCAGTCACATTTTGCAGATTACACAATTCTTTTTATAGAAATCCCTGAAGACTCCATCTAATATACTATTAGAAACAATAAACAGATACAGTAAAGTTGTAGCATATAAAATAAATGCACAAAAAATCCATTTGAGTGTATGGTGATAGAAGGAGATTTGATTTTGGATTGTGGGCACATATGCAATATACAGATAATGCCCAGAACTATATACTTAAAACCTATATAATTTTATTAACCAATGTAACCCTATTACATTTAATAAAAAATCAAAAATATTTATTACATTCCTATATAGTAACAACGAAGTTTTAGAAAAATTAAATTCACTTTGCAATTGCAATAAAAACACCTAAAAATAAATGTAATAATGGATGTGAAGGACCTATACACTGAAAACCACAAAGCCTTATTAAAAGCGACAGAAAAAGACACAAAGAAATGGAGGGATATTCCATTTTCATGGATTTACAAAAATCAACATAGTTAAAATGTACAAATTACTCAAAGCAATATACAGATTTAATGCAATCTCCATCAAATGGGGCCCTAGATGGGTAGCTCAATTGATTAGAGAATTGTCCCCATATGCCAAAGTTTGATACAAGAATCAACCAATTAATGCATAAATAAGTGGAGCAATAATTCTCTCTCTCTCAAATCAATTTTAGAAAATCCCAATGACATTTTTAAAAGAAATAGAACAAAAAAAATCATCATATTTGTATGGAACCACAAAAGACCCCAAATAGCCAAAGCAATCCTGTGAAAAAAGAATGAAGCCAGAGGTGTCATACTCACTGACTTCAAATTATACTACAAAGTAATGATGATCAAAACAGCATGGTATTGGCAGAAAACAGACTCACAGACCAGTGAAATAAAACGGAGAGACCAGAAGTAAACCCAGGAGTACATGGGCAGCCCTGGATGTTTTATCTCAGTGGTTAAAGCATCATTCCATGGAAAGAAGGATCCAGGTTTGATTCTTGGTCAAGTGCATGTACATGGGTTGCAGGCCCAATCCCAGCCCAGGGTTGGGGCATGTGTAGGAGGAAACCGATTTGATGTCTCTCACATAGATGTTTCTCTTTCTCTCTCTCCCCACTCCTTCCCTTCCACTTTCTCTAAAAATCAATGGAAAAAAAAATACCCTCAGGAGGATTAATAGAAAAAAGAAAAGTATATGGGCAAGTGATTTTTAATAAAGGAACAAAACACATACAATGGAGAACAGAAAGCCTCTTTAATAAATGGTGCTAGAAAAACTGAAAAGCCGTATGAAAAGACTAAAACTAGACTTCTGTTTGTCTCCACATACAAAAATTAACTCAAAATGGATCGAAAACCTAAATATAAAACCTGAAATAATAAATTACATAGAAGAAAACATAGATACTAAACTTATGGATCTTGATCTTAGGAAGGATTTTATGAATTTGACCCCAAAGGCAATGGAAGTAAAGGTAAAAGTAAGTGAATGAGACTATATCAGACTAAAAAGCTTTTGCACAGCAAAAGAAATTGCCAACAAAACAAAGGCAGCCATCAAAATGGAAGAAGCCATTTGCAAATAAAAGCTCTGACAAGGGGTTAATAACTAATACATATAAAGAACTCACATAACTCAACACCAAAAAAACAAACAATCCAATTAAAAAATTGTCAGGCAGTTCTCCCAAGAAGACATACAAATGGCCAACAGGTATCGGAAAAGATGCTCAGCTTCTCTAGTTATTAGGGAAACGTAAATCAAAACTACAATGAGATACTACCAAACCAGTCAGAATGGCTATTATCAACAAGGAATATCTATAATAATAAAAGCATAATGTGCCAATTAGACTGAACGTCCTTCCAGACAACCTTCCTGACGAAGCCCAGGTCTCGGGTGCCAGAGGGAAGCCAGTGCTGGCAGCCAGGGGAAGGAAAGGCCTACTCTTGTACGAATTTCATACATCGGGCCTTTAGTGATAAATAAGAAGTGTTGGAGAGGTTGTGGAGAAAAGAAACCCCCAATCATTGCTGGTAGGAATATAAACTGGTACAGCAACTATGGAAATCAGTATAGAGGTTTCTAAAAAAAATTAAGAATAGATTTACTATATGACTCAGCAATCCATCTTCAGGATACCTACCTGAAAATTTGAAAATTTGCAAAGATATATATGCACTCTTTTTGTTCACTGCAACATTATTCACAGTGGCTAAACTATAGAGACAACCAAAGTGTCCTCTGATAGATGATTTGATAAAGAAGATGTGGTACATATATACATGAAAGGCTACTCAGCCATAAGAAAAGATGAAATACTGACATTTTTTACAACATTGATTGATCTTGAGAGTATGATGCTAAAGAGAAATATGTCATATAGAAAAAGTAAACAATCATAAGATTTCCCTCAGATGTGGAATATGCAACTAAAAGCAACAAATGAACAAACAGGATAAACAAACAAAAAACTCATAGACACAGACAACACCATAGTGGTTACCAGAGGAAAGGAGATGAGGAGGTATTAAAGAATACTGGGGGGAAGGATATCAAATATATGGTGATGAAAAGAGATTTGAGTTTTGGTGGCAAACACACAAAGCCATATATAATAATGTACCATGTAATTGTTTACTTGATACCTGTATAATGTTATTAACCAATGTTATGCCAATAAATTTAATAAAAAGCTTAGATGTTTATGTGGCTCGTCATCCAGGTGCATTCAATTCAGATGGAATAAATCTAATTTCAGATGTAAAACTCAAATCTGTAAGGTGATCAAAAACTTTGAAGAATTAAATGGGTATATAAATATGACTAAGATACACTTTTGATATATCTGGGCCCTAGATTTGTCTTCCATAATAAGGAGCTATTGTTTTAAATATTAAATATGATGTATAAAGTGGATATCACAGTACCATTGTGATATAGAGGAAATAATTAATGTGAGTTCAATAAACTCAAATACTAAGTAAATTAATGATGAAGCAATTCATTCTCAATTATCTTTATTTACATTTATACCCTCCAATTTTGGATTCCAATTACTATTAATTTTAGCCCTCAACAATTCACTGCTTGGTGTATCAGTATTACCTCCTATCAAAGTCAAGGGTTGTTTTATTTCACTTATATGTTGTTTTTTTCAGTCTGCACTACATTTTAACTGTCATTTGCTATATTTGTGGATTAGAGACTGACTTGGCAAATAAAGAACTAGGGTCAAAGGTCAGTATTTCTCTACTTCCTCTCCTCATCAACCAACCAATTACTCAATAAAATAAATTGGTTTGGAGGCACAACTGTATTCTAGGAACAAAGAAAACTGTCAGTAGGTTCAACATGGGAGAAATAAGCACAGTCTTTTGTAGGTTAATAAAAGTAGTTCCTGAGGCTGAACATATGCGGTGGAGAGCAATTAATAAGTACATACAGGGTAGCCTAAAAGTAGATTTATAGTTGTTTGTAGGAAAATAATACAAAATTAATAAATAATAATACAAGAATAAACTCTGTGTTTCACATACTCACAGCTGTAAACCTACTTTTGTCCCAACCTGCATATGGACTCTCCAGATTACAAAGGGTCTTACAAACTAATTAGGATAACTGAGACCTAATTAATAGAGCAGAAGAAGCCATTGAAGAAGTTTTGGGTAATAGACAAAATATAATTAAAATCATGTTAGAAGATTAAGACACTAATATCTTAAAAATGATCAAAGGGAGAGAGACCATATATTTGTTTCAGGAAGGCTGAAGAGCCACAGCACTGCAGAGTTCCCTTCACCATGATGGCAATGCGGTCACCCAGGATGTCAGCTTCATCCATGTGGTGCGTGGTCATTAAGATGGTGCGGTCCTGTTTATACTGCCGAAGGAGGTCCCAGGTGGCTCTTTGTGAGATGGGGTCCATGCTAATTGTGGGCTCATCAAGCATCACCACCTAGAGACCAGAAGAACAACTCCATGACCATTGATAATTGATGCCAAAGTACTTGTGGGATAATTTACTACTTGAGGGGAACACATTTAAACTAAGATACAAAATCTAGACTAATAATAATGGTAAAAACTAGAAAAAATAATCCCAAACCATATTATAACAGCTCACCCAATAATGCAAATTCTCTTTAATTATCATTGGCCACATCCCCTTAAGGTTAATCTCAACTCTCAGGTTTTTGTCAGCTGAGTTTCCTGGATCAGCTGGCAGGAACCCATTTTCAGTACATGTATGTGTGCATGCCCTTCCCACCCTGCTCCATCCTTTTTCTCTATTTCTTCTCTAATACCTCAGAGTCTACTATAAGTGCTATCATGACGGAGAGTTTGCGCTTCATTCCTGAAGTCAGTGACTTTGACATTGTATTACTCTTTTCTAGCAAGTTAAAAGTAGACAGCATATGGTCAGCTTCCATAGGGTACATCTCTTGACATTTTCTTTTTGACTAGAAAGAGAAGCCAGAATTTACATGATGCCAACTTTATCCTCAGAGAGTTCTTAGATCATAACACATCTACAAGGGTTAGCAAAAATAAGTTTACAGTTGTGAGTATGTGAAACACACAGTTATTCTTGTATTATTATTTGTTAATTATTGTATTTTATTTGTATTATAATGGTAAGACACATCAGCACTTGGATCAGGAAGAATACTAGAACCAGAACTTGAAATACAACTGAACTGGTGTTGAGTTTACCATTTTCCCCTTGTGTATTCCCTAGCCTGAACTCAAAGCAATCCAAAGCCTGGAAATGCAGTGAAGTGTAAATAGAATGAGATTAAGGAGAAACCCGCTAGTTCTTGTTTGAGGAGTGGAAAAGGGAAAACCCCTAATGTTCTGAGAGAGTGTAGAAGGCCCAATCCCATTTCCCCTCTGCTCTCTTGTGGCCCAGACCATGGGAAGTCTTCTGGGCGGGATGGTGGCAAGAATAGAAAATAATGGGAACCCTCAATGAGCTCAAGTGGTGAGGGAGGTGAACCTTCTCAGTTTAGTCAAGCCCTGGGTCCAAAAGGACAGGGCCAAATCTGCCTGCTTTGTACCACTCTCTCTGTCTTCCTGCCACGTGGATGTGGCATGATCATGAAAGTCAGTGATTTCTGGCTGGGGGACTGAAAGAGAAATTTTTGGGAACTGGAACATTCTGGGGAAGTTGTTGGTGAGCTCATGTGTTTACCCTGTCATTTGCACACATGGATATAATCCTAATTAGAATACCAAATTTTAAAAATTATGCTAATGAGTAAATCTCTACCGAGATGTGTAGTGACCAATGGGTAACACAGGCTGAGACTAAAATAGCACTATTAAGATTGAACTAATATGGGAACCACAGCCCACAGATATAAAAAAAGATGTAGTGTCACGATATATTATTGAAAACATTCAGGATAAAAACAAAAGTCAATTGGCACACAAAAATCTCATCTCATATAGAAAAGACAATCAACAGACATCAATGATAGGATGGCATGGATGTTGGAATCTATAATAGTAAAAGTGTAATATGCAAATCGACTGAACGGCTGAACAGCAGAATGACCAACCGGACAACCACACTATGACACCCACTGGCAACTGGCCAGCCAACATGGGTGCGATGCAATTGGTCAGGAGTCCGGCCATCACCCCACTGATCGCCCTGCAGAGGGAGGCCCAGGCCACTGGCCGGTGGGGCAATCGATCAGGGGGTGTGTGGCAGTGGATGCGGGCAGCACCAGGTCAAGGCGGATGCAGGCGGGGGACGGGGCTGCGAGGCAGCTGGGACCATGAGGGCCCTGGCAGCTGGGGCTGTCAAGACCTACCCTTGCATGAATTTCATGAATTGGGCTTCTAGTTAACATATAAAGTATTATCAACATATAGAAAATACGAAGAAATAAAATGAAATTTTAGAACTAAAAATTTTAAAAATATTTTTATTTATATTAGAGAGGGAGAGATAAAAACATCAATTACGAGAGAGAATCATTGATAGGTTGCCTCTTGTATGTGCCCCACTGGGGACCGAGCCCACAATCTGGGCATGTGCCCTGACTGGGGATCAAATGTGACCTCCCGGTTCATAGGTCTGATGCTCAATCACTGAGCCACACTGGCAGGGCTAGAACTAAAAATTTAATAACCCAAATAGGAGATGGCGGCGGTATAGGCAGACGCGTCCCGGGTCGTGTCCCTGAGCAAATGGAGTGAGCAGCTGAAACTAGTAGCATCCACCCCGAATTGGCGAAGTTCCTCAGCTGGCGAGACGGTTTGCAGCCGGGAAGGGCAGAGCTCCCCTGGAAAGCAGATCCAAGCAACAGCAACCTCCTGAGCACCACACCCTCTGCTGAGGAACAGCAGCTGTACGTGAAACCTTGCCCCACCAGCCAGAAGAGCCACCACAGCTGTGAACAGCACCCACCAGAGGAGCTGCTGCCAACTGAAGAGCAGCTACTACCGCAACCGCCCGAAGAGCAACCACAGACCAAGGAGTCACTGCCACCAAGGGAGCAGCCACTGAACGACTCAACGTCTAGATATGTCAGCGAGATCAAACATGGGTAGACAAAGAAACCCCCCCAAAAAAGAGAAGGAGGACTCTCCAGAAAAGCAGCTAAGTAATACAGAGGCATGCAACATGACAGAAAAAGAATTCAGAATAAGGGTCCTAGAGTGCATAAACCGGATGGAGGAAAAAATCGACAACCTCTCCAAGAAGCAAGAAGAAACAGATGAAAAAATCAACAACTTAAGTAAGACCCAAGAAGAAATGAAGAGTGATATAGCTGCAATGAAAAACTCCATTGAAAGTATCAACAGTAGACTAGGAGAAGCGGAGGACCGAATTAGTTATTTAGAAGACAAGGAAGCAAAACACACCCAAAACGTACTGCAATTGGAGAAAAAAATGAAAAGTCAGGAGGAGAGCCTAAGGGAGCTTTGGGACAACATGAAACGAAACAACATACGAATAATAGGGGTGCCAGAACAACAGAAGGATGAACAAGGATTAGAAAACCTATTAGAAGAAATAATATCAGAAAACTTCCCTGAGGTGGGCAAGAAAAAAGTCACACAAGCCCAGAGAGTCCCAAACAAGGTGAACCCAAAAAGACCCACACCAAGACACATCATAATTACCATGGCAAATGTTCAGGACAAAGAGAGAATCTTACAGGCTGCAAGAGAGAGACGGAAAGTTACATACAAGGGATCTCCCATTAGATTGTCAAATGATTTCTCAACAGAAACACATCAGGCCAGAAAAGAATGGACGGAAATTTACAAAGTGATGCAAAGCAAAGGACTAAATCCAAGAATACTCTATCCAGCAAGGCTATCATTCAAACTTGAAGGGGAAATAAGAAGCTTCACAGACAAAAAAAAGGCTAAGGGAGTTTATCACCACCAAGCCAGCAATGCAAGGAATGCTAAAGGGACTGGTATAAAAATAAGAAATAAAAAGCTCAGAAAGAAAACAGCCACACAAAAACAGAAATGCCTACAAACAAGTACCTTTCAATAATAACTTTAAACGTAAACGGACTAAATGCTCCAAACAAAAGACATCGAGTGGCTGAATGGATAAAAAAACATGACCCATACATCTGCTGTCTACAAGAAACCCACCTCATTAGAAGGGACTCACACAGACTGAAAGTGAAAGGATGGAAAAATATCTTTCAGGCAAATGGAAAGGAAAAGAAAGCTGGGGTAGCAATACTTATATCGGACAAAATAGACCTCAAAGTGAAGGCCATAACAAGAGATAAAGAAGGCCACTTCATAATACTAAAGGGATCAATACAACAAGAAGATATAACCCTGGTAAACATATATGCACCCAATGCAGGAGCACCCAAATTCATAAAAAAACTCCTGGAAGATATCAAAGGAGAGATCGACAACAATACAATCATTGTAGGGGACTTTAATACACCACTGACAGCACTGGATAAGTCTTCTAGACAAATAATCAGCAAAGATACAGCAATCCTAAATGACTCACTAGATCAGATGGACTTAATAGACATCTTCAGAACACTTCACCCGAAAGCCAGGGAATATACATTCTACTCAAATGCTCATAAGACATATTCAAAAATAGACCATATATTGGGGCACAAGCAAAGTATCCCCAAATTCAAGAAAATTGAAATCATAAAAAGCGTCTTCGCAGACCACGATGGCATAATATTAGTAATAAACTACAATAAAAACAACCCAAAATACTCAAACACCTGGAAGCTGAATAGCATGCTATTAAATATTGATTGGGTTACCAATGAAATCAAAGAAGAAATTCGAAACATCCTGGAAACTAATGACAATGAAAACACAACAATCCAAAACCTATGGGACACAATGAAAGCAGTCCTGAGAGGGAAGTTTATAGCTCTACAGGCCTATCTCAAAAAACAAGAAAAAATGGTAGTAAATCATCTAACTCTACAACTCAAAGAATTAGAAAGAGAGCAACAAGAAAACCCCAGAGTGAGCAGAAGGAAGGAGATAATAAAGATTAGAGCAGAAATAAATGACATAGAGACCAAAAACACAATACAGAAAATCAATGAAACCAAGAGCTGGTTCTTTGAAAGGATAAACAAGATTGACAAACCTCTAGCCAGACTCACCAAGAAGCAAAGAGAGAGGACCCAAATAAACAAAATCAGAAACGATAGAGGCGAAATAACAACAGACCACACAGAAATACAAATGATTGTTAAAAAATACTATGGACAGCTCTACTCCAACAAACTAGACAACCTGGAAGAAATGGACAAATTCCTAGAAAAATACAACATTCCAAAACTCAATCAGGAAGAATCTAAAAATCTCAACAGGCCAATAAGTATGGAAGAAATTGAAGCAGTCATCAAAAAGCTTCCAGCAAACAAAAGCCCAGGACCAGACGGCTTCACAGGGGAGTTTTACCAAACATTCAAGGAAGAACTGAAAGCTATCCTCCTCAGACTACTACAAAATATTCAAGAGGAAGGAACACTTCCAAGCTCATTCTATGAAGCCAGCATCACCCTAATACCAAAACCAGGTAAAGACAACACAATGAAAGAGAATTACAGGCCAATATCCCTCATGAACATAGATGCCAAAATCCTCAACAAAATCTTAGCAAATCGGATCCAGCAGTACATCAGAAAGATCAAACACCATGACCAAGTAGGATTTATCCCAGGGATGCAAGGATGGTACAATATCCGCAAATCAATAAACGTGATACATCACATAAACAAATTGAAAGAAAAAAACCACATGGTCATATCAATTGATGCAGAAAAAGCATTTGACAAAATTCAACACCCATTTTTGATAAAAGCTCTCAGCAAGGTGGGAGTAGAAGGATCATACCTCAACATAATAAAAGCCATATATGACATGCCCACAGCCAACATCATACTCAATGGACAAAAACTAACACCATTTCCCCTAAGAACAGGAACAAGACAGGGATGCCCCCTCTCACCACTCCTGTTCAACATAGTACTGGAAGTGTTAGCCATTGCAATTCGGCAAGAAGAAGAAATAAAAGGCATCCAAATTGGAAAAGAGGAAGTAAAACTGTCCTTATTTGCAGACGACATGATATTATACATACAAAACCCTAGAGACTCCATCAAAAAGCTACTGGACTTAATACATGAATTTGGCAATGTAGCAGGATACAAAATTAACCCCAAGAAATCCGAGGCATTTCTATACACCAATAGTGAACTTTCAGAAAGAGAGATTATAAAAACAATCCCGTTTACCATCGCACCAAAAAAATTAAGCTACCTAGGAATAAACTTAACTAAAGAGGTGAAAGACCTCTACTCAGAAAACTATAGGACGTTGAAAAAAGATATAGAGGAAGACATAAACAGATGGAAGAACATACCGTGTTCATGGATTGGTAGAATCAACATCATTAAAATGTCCATACTACCCAAAGCAATCTATAAATTCATCACACTTCCCATTAAAATACCAACGGCATACTTCAGAGATCTAGAACGAACTCTCCAGAAATTCATCTGGAATAAAAAAAGACCCCGAATAGCTGCAGCAATCCTGAAAAAGACCAAAGTAGGTGGGATCTCAATACCAGATATCAAGATGTATTACAAAGCCACTGTTCTCAAAACTGCCTGGTACTGGCACAAGAATAGGCATATAGATCAATGGAATAGAATAGAGAGCCCAGAAATCGTCCCGAACCAATATGCTCAATTAATATTTGACAAAGGAGGCAAGAACATACAATGGAGCCAAGATAGTCTCTTCAATAAATGGTGTTGGGAAAATTGGACAGATATATGCAAGAAAATGAAACTAGACCACCAACTTACACCATACACAAAAATAAACTCAAAATGGATAAAGGACTTAAATGTACGACAGGAAACCATAAAAATTCTAGAAGAATCCAAAGGCAAAAAAATCTCAGACATATGCCGAAGCAATTTTTTTCACTGATACAGCTCCTAGGGCACTTGAAACGAAAGAGAAAATGAACAAATGGGACTACATCAAAATAAAAAGCTTCTGCACAGCAAAAGAAACCATCAACAAAACAACGAGAAAACCCACTGTGTGGGAAAACATATTTGCCAATGTCATATCTGATAAGGGCCTAATCTCCAAAATTTATAGGGAACTCATACAACTTAACAAAAGGAAGATAAACAATCCAATCAAAAAATGGGCAAAGGACCTAAATAGACACCTTTCAAAAGAGGACATTCAGAAAGCCAAGAGACATATGAAAACATGCTCAAAGTCACTAATCATCCGAGAGATGCAAATCAAAACAACAATGAGGTACCATCTCACACCTGTCAGACTGGCTATCATCAACAAATCAACAAACGACAAGTGCTGGAGAGGATGTGGAGAAAAAGGAACACTTGTGCACTGCTTGTGGGAATGCAGACTGGTGCAGCCACTATGGAAGACAGTATGGAGTTTCCTTAAAAAACTGAAAATGGAACTCCCATTTGACCCTGTGATCCCACTTCTAGGAATATATCCCAAGAAACCAGAAACACCAATCAGAAAGGATATATGCACCCCTATGTTCATAGCAGCACAATGCACCATAGCTAAGATCTGGAAACAGCCTAAGTGCCCATCAGTAGATGAATGGATTAGAAAACTGTGGTACATCTACACGATGGAATACTATGCTGCTCTAAAAAGGAAGGATCTCTTACCATTTGCAACGTCATGGATGGAACTGGAGAGCATTATGCTAAGTGAAATAAGCCAGTCAATGAAGGAAAAATACCACATGACCTCACTCATTCATTGATAATAGAGACCATTATAAACTTTTGAACAATAATAGATACAGAGGCAGAGCTGCCTCAAACAGATTGTCAAACTGCAGCAGGAAGGCCGGGGAGGGTTGCGGGGCAGGAGGTAGGGGGGTAAGAGATCAACTAAAGGACTTGTATGCATGCATATAAGCATAACCAGTGGACCTAAGACATTGGGGGATAGGGGAGGCTAGGGGACTGTCTAGGGCGGGGGGATAAAATGGACACAAATGTAATACCCTTTGTAATACTTTAAGCAATAAAAAAAAATAAATAAAAATAAAAATAAAAATAAAAATTTAATAACCCAAATAAAAAGCTCATATGGCTTAATAGTAGAATAGAAGTGACAGAAAGAAGGGGGTCAGTGAATTTGAAGATAGATAAATAGAAATAATACATTCTGAACAATAGAAAGAAAAAATAATTATGAAAAATGAAAAAAGCCCAAGGGACTTTTGGGGAGAACTTCATGTCACAGAACTTCTAACATGAGAGAAGAAAGAGTATGTGGCTAAAATAATAACTGAAGAAATAATGACAGAAAACTTCTCAAATTTGGCAAAAGATACAAACCTATAGATTGAAAAAGCTGATTGAACCTGATCTAGATAAATCATAACCAAATTGCTGAAATGTACAGACAAAGAAAAACTCCTGTCAGAACTCAAAGAAAAAATGATTAATTATAGGGGAATAATTCAGATGAATTTTGATGTTTTATAAACATGGTGTCCAGAAAGCAGTAGGACAACATTTAAATCTTTTTATTGATTGATAAAGAGGGAGAGAGAGATCCACCCATTACACACTTACTGATTGCTTCCTGTATGTCCCCTGACTTGGACTTGAACCTGCAAACTTGGTGCATTTGGATGATCCTACAACCAGCTGAGCTATCCAGTCAGGGCAAGAACATTTTTTTTTAAGTCCTCACCCAAGGATATTTTCCCATTGATTTCTAGAGAGAATAAAAAGGAGAGAGGAGGGGGAGGGATTTCTAGAGGGGGAGAGACAGAGACAGAGAAGCATCAATGTGAGAGAGACACATCGATTAGTTGCGTCCCACATATGCCCCACCGGGACCTGGGAACCTGCAACCACGGTAAATGCTCTTGACTGGGAATTAAACCCACGGCCCTTTGGTCAACAGGCTAATGCCTAACCACTGAGAAAACTGGCCAGGGCAAGAACAACATTTTTTTTTAAGTGCTAAAGGAAAAGAACCACTGACTCAGATTTCTATGTCAAGTAAAAAATATCCTTGTGAATTAAGGATACTCTCAGGTGAAAGAAAACTAAGAGGCTCTTCAGCGAAGAGTATTGGTATAAATGGACTGATACAGAATGCTTTTCAGACAGAAGAGAAATGATGCAGAAAACTTGAAACATCATGAATAATAAAAGCACAGCAGAAATGGTAAATATAATAACTATTATTTTCTTATGGTTTTTAAAACACACTAGATCATTTTAAGCAAATAATATTTTCTGGTAATGTTTTCAGTACAGTGGGGCCTTGACTTACGAGTTTAATTCGTTCCGTGATGGAGCTCGTAACTTAAAGTGAACGAGTGAGACACGTGATGCTGGGCTGATGTTGTGGCGTTCACTGTGACGTTCGCTGTGCCAACTAGCGGTGGGGTATCTGAAGCTGGCTCATAACCCGAATTTTAGCTTGCAACTCAAAGCTTGTATCTCAAAAAACTCGTTAGTTGGAACACTCGTAAGTCAAGGCCCCACCGTATATGTATGTGTCATTTATGCCAACTATAGCCTAAGCAGGGGTGGGGAACGTCCTGCTCACAGGCCATATATGGCCTGCAAATCATTTCATCTGGCCCTGTGAGTTAATTAAATGTTTGACCAAATATAGCAGGCTAATTTTAAGTTGATAGTTTTTATGGCCTGCGAATGCTGTTATAAATATCCAAATGTCCCTTGGCAGAAATAGAGTTCTCACCCCTGGCCTAAAGGAAGGACCTATGGTGTGGTAAGATATCTACATTCAAATAAAGTTGAAAACTATTAATTACAAATAATTGAAAAGCTAAAGTCTGTATTTTGTAACCCCTATAATAACCAATAAAAATGTACACAAGATATAAAATAAAGTAAAATAAAAAATCACAATAAACAAAATGGAATACGAAAGAAGTCCAAGTAACCCAAAATAAGACTGCAAAGAGGAATCAGGGTAGTGGTGGTGGTGGGGAAGCAGTGAGAAAAACAGAAAACAAATAATAAAATGATACATTTACATCTAAACATATCAATAATTACATTAAAAATAAATAGTTTAAATACATCCATTAAAAGACAGAGACTATCAGATTGTATACAAAACATGACCCAACTATACAATGTCTACCAAAACTTGCTTAAAACTTAATTATATAGGTAGGTTTAAAGTGTTTGAAGAAATACCATGCAAACCCAAATCAAAAGAAAGCTGGAATGGTTATATTAATATCAGATAAAGTTGACTTTATAGCGAAGAAAATTACCAGAGACAAAAGAGGGATGTTACATGTTAATCGGAGGATCATTTCAGGAGATCCAAGATGGCAGCAGAGGAGGTGGGAGCTACACTCACTTCCTCCTGGGACCAAGCTGGAATTACAGTGTCTTAAACACTGGTCTGCCCAAGAGTCCCTCCATAGAGGTCCAGAAATAACATACCCAGTGGCCAGATTCAGACAACATCTGAGCAGGATTCAATAAGCTTCACAAGCAGCATATCCAAAGGGAGATCTCAGCAGGCAGCAAATCTGCTGAGGCAAATTCTGCTTTGTGTTGTCAGCACCTGCAAAGCAGCTCACATGCCATGGTCAGGGTTCAGCCACACAATCAGCCAGCCTGAGGGTTGATGTCATGCACAAATGAGCCAATAGCAATCAAAATTCAATTACATCAGGAGAGCCCACATAAAACACACAAGGAACGTTCCTAGAGCACCCAGCTCAGGTAGTCAAGTAGACTGCAACACTAGATACCTGTGGGAACCCTAATCAGAATATGCCAGATGTTCAAGGCCAATTGGAGTGTGGGGGCCCTGTCCAGAGTATGCTGGGTGTTCAAGGCCAGTCTGAGCAAGGTCACAGCGATTGTACGGTATGGACTGTGCAGGCATACCTTTCTATAACCCAAATATTGATG